ATTTGATTTGTTTGGGTTTTTTTACCTTGCAGAGGAAAATGAACTCCTACAGCAAACTCTTCTATGCCAAAACAGCCATGACACATCACCTCCATCAATGCTGACAACTTGAAATTTGATGTAGACATAATTTGCACATGACAAGAAGGATTCATTCTCACTTATTTCACTCTCCTGTAAATTCTCATGCCTGTCAATATTTGTGTTTGATATGCCCACAAAACACGTACTGATCACAGCAAAGATAACTACCTGTACTGTTTTCTACCAAACAATTATATAAACTAAAATCTCCACCATCACAACCCTTCTCAATGAGGCGTGACTTGGACACTGCAGTCTGCAGACAACAGACCATGCTTCCCATTTCAAAATCTAATTTACTTTTAGCAGGACAAGGCAGGCTGATCATTTGTTGTGAAACAAAGGGAAATGCTCAAACAAATGAACTGTGTCCTGCTAGAAGCAGCCACATTGTTTCAGCTCTTGGGAGTCCAAATTTTGCAGGTCACATGGAGCAGCAAGCTGCCGCCAGGGCCAAGTCTGCAATGTTTAAAATTCCACTCTTCACCTCACTTTTCCTATCATCCCTTTGTGCTGTTTAGTACACCCTTGACCTCCAAATAGTGTTAAAAGAACAGTCATCTCCATTATCTCAATCAATAAGTCTTCATAGCTGATGAAAATAAAAACAAGTAGCCCTACTGAAAGCTGACATGGGCTATGCAGAAGGCGACCTGCAGGGAAAGGTGCAGTAACACTGGGGTGTCCTCACTGAGGAGGGGAGGCATGCTTCAATGTGCATCACCAAACCTGAGTCCCAACATATACCAGGCAAGCTGTTACCTTAACATGTTCAGCTTAAATGCCTTAGCATGTATTTTGACCAACTTGCTGGACTGCAGCTTGTGTCATCTAATATCAGAGTCTAACACACCTCGGATGTGGTACAGATTTCCCCCAGCTGCCCTCTGATTTCTCTGTGCTATACAAAATAAATTGTCCACGCAGCAGCATAAGGAAGCCCTATGTACAAGTCAGCAAAGGAAAATTAATAAAACAAAAGGGCTGCAGAAATACACGTTTTATTTTACTGTGCACATGTGAGACATTGAATTCAGTAGCAACATTTTTACAAGGGCATGTAGTGATAGGACAAGGGGTAACGGCCTGAAAGAGAAGAAGTTTAGATTACATATTAGGAAGAAATTCTTTACTGCAAGAGTGGGGAAACACTGGAACCGCTTGCCCAGAGAAAGTGTGGGTGCCCCATCCCTGGAAGTATTCAAGGCTAAGTCAGATGGGGCTTTAAGCGACCTGTTCCAGTAAAAGGTGTCCCTACCACAACTAGGGTGTTGGAACTAGATGATCTTTAGGGTCCCTTCCAACCCCAACCATTCTGTTGTTTAAAAGACGGAATTAACAGTGAATCACATTGAATATATGTAAGAATGGCAAGGAGAGAGGAACACTAGGTCTAGGGGATCTAAACTTCTCCAACACAGTAAGATAGCATCTCCTATAATCATGAGATCCAGGAAGCAGATCACCCACAAAAATTATCTTTCTATACCATTGCTCATGCAACTTAACTAAACTAAACAAAAAGCTCTAAGAAGACATTCTGGATTTGGCTGCTGGCAAGAACACAAATGAGAAATGCTTCAGTAGCAGGGAAATATGGGCTACTGCTAACATGGCACATACTGCTTAAATAAACTAAAGCAGAATTTTCATATGAAAATTTATTTATCTAGACATTGTTTGGGGGCAGTCTGTGCATAACTGTGAAATGAGATGAATATTTTTTCCACCACAGGAGGATAAAAGGTTTGAATACAGCATGAGAAAGGGATTCTTTGAACAAACAGCTGAGGGGAAGGCATACCACTGTAGTGAAAACATGCTGTAGGTAAAGGCAAGGGCAGTCCATGAGACAAACAGGCCACGCTGCTTGGATGTAGACCGGCACAAACTTAAAAGTGGCTCCTTTCAGCAGTTTCCTTCCCATTTAAGAACTGCACACAAGCAAGAAGATGCAAGAACAGAGTTGATATATAACACTGACCAGAAAGAAATGCTTGGTTTGAGATTCAAGTGATTTTTTTTTTTAACACTCATTTTCTTCTTATTGAGCTGTACTACTGTCCTGTTACTAATTAGAGCCCAATGAATGTCTGTAGTTTTATGTTGAGAGGCAGCCTCCTCAGCTGGGACATTTCAAGAGCATACACTAGGGTATACTCTGGTAGGGATCCCCATTAAAATCATTGAGCAAAAGCATGCACACATTTCTTAATTCAACATGTCATCCCTCTAAGGCCTGGGGACCTCACTTCGGCAAGTATTCTAAAAACATTTTTTCAAAGCTGGAACAAGCCATCACAACCAACTGACATGTCCATAATAATGTTCTTTCCTATTACTGAGTGGCACTGGTTTCTACCATGTAGTAGTCTGTTTAACGGCCAAAACATGATAAATATAACTTAAATACTGTTTATGGTCGTATTATTTTTCCATCTGGCTTCGATCTTTTTTCTCTTTGTTTCACCATTAGGATTCTGTTTCACTGGGATTTGGTTTTTTTACTTAAAACTGAAGTCCCTTTATTTACCAGCACTTGTCACACAGTCCTTATTGCAATGAAAAAGTACAGACACTGTCAATATCCCCAAATGCAAAAAATAATGAATTTCTTTCTCTGCTACAAGGTAAGCAAAAGTTAAACACTTCCAAATGCTCCTAGCAATGCATCAGATGTTTCCTCTACGAACTCCTCATTTGCAATGCTGTTGCAAAACCAGCAAACGCAGTTCTTGAAAGACTTAATAAGACTGTTTACCTAATTATTCCCCTTCATTCAACAATTGGGAAGTCTCAAGTAGCAGGACTATTGGACACCATATTTTAGAAAGAATCAAAAAATGAACGAATACAACAGATTTAAGGAAACAATTAATACAAAGGAACTTGGGGGTTTGGGGGTTTTTGGCTTCTTTTTAACTCACACAGAGGGTAACTAACAGATGAGTGGTAAGAGTCCTCACATCTGTAAAAGCCTGATTTGAGGAGGAAGCTATTTTTCTCCAAGTCTACTGAAAACTAAGAAAAATAGTTTCTTAGTTTCTTAGCTTTCTGCTGCCACCTTGACTTGCATGACTTTACAGAGACAGGATCATTAAACACACTAACTGCAATGAAAGCAGTAGGAAACCTGCTGCTGAAGGTTTTTCAGAGACACGTTTAGTTCGGCTTGGTCCAGATAAACTTTGTTGCTGGAGGGGAGGGGATGACTAGCCAGCTGACCGGCACTGCTCCCTTCCAGGCACACCTGTCTTCAGGCACAAACGTGCCTGTTCGGGAGCTACAGCAATGCCTGAGGGGACAGATGTGACTTAGGGGAAGACCAGGAAGTTTGCAGATCCTGGATCATGCTGCTGTGATTACTGCATGACAGCCACCAACACAGAGGGGTCCTGAAAAACCACCGGCGCCTAGGTTATGAGACCCCATGATTAAGAAGGTTTGGGAAAGTTCCACCTAGGAGCTCCACCTGGGAACAAACAGGGTGCCACCGTCACACTGCAGTTGTGCAGGGCCACCATCTGCAATGTCCCAGCTGCTGCTTGCCACCAAAGCTCTTCCCCTCCACCTGCTACCACTGTGATTTTCATGGCCCTTTTTGGACAAATGGTTGTGCTGGCTTGGTTTAAGAGAAGAGCTGTACAGTATCCTAGTAAAAAAAAATTAATCTATTTGAACCTTAAAGATATGCTTGCAAGTTTTGCATGAAGAAATAATAAGGTATAACTTTTTTACAACTCAAAAGCCAAGGTTATAGGCAAATACATGACATTTTGGTCTGGACCCATCACCAACTTGTCCTGGGGCTTTGGAGAGAGTTCCAATAAAAACCAAACAAATTAAAACAAAAATAAAATGAAATAGCACAAAAGAATATATAGGTCATTTTTATTTCAAAGCCACTAAAATCACTGCAGAGGTACCAAAGTACCACGAAGTATAAAAACACTTAAAAGAATTTAGAGTACATTTAGGAACATGTTCACTTGGAGGTTAGAAGGCAGAGGAGGAGAAGCATATATTCAACACTTGATTTGACTTTCTGTTATGAATCCGCTACACTGATTTTATCCTGCTTATAGGTCCATGCATTCATTACAAAAATTACAGATATATGCTGCATACAATTCCTATTTTTTATAACAACACAGATATTCCTAAGCCATAGTCACAACCAGAAGTGAAATAGCACGCTCAGGGATGTCAGTATTGGCAGAACCAAACCGTTTGGAAAGTAATAGTAACATAACATCACTTCTGTTGTACATCAGAAACATTATTGGAAAATTTACCCCCCATCCAGAAAGCGGAATTGTGGTTTGAAAATAAATTATTGCCAAACAAACAAACGCAAAAATCATAGTCTGAATTCAGTGTACATCACTGAGGGCAAAGCATTAAAAAAGCAATTCTGGTGATAAACTCTAGCACTTTATGTGCAATATTTATGCACTAAAGAATAGCAACTAAAGCTATTTTAAATATATAAAATATATACCTACAAAAGGGCAGTGACCTATCAAATGATGCTGATCTCAGCACCAATAAAATGCATTTGATCAACAGGAATGATGACTGGAAAGATTACAACTTTCTTAATAGTCTTAGTAGCGCATAAAGACTGTTACACAGACAAAGCAGAAAATATTTTATAGAACTTTGGAAAACAAATTATTTAATTACACTGTCTTTCTCAGAGGCCACATATGATCCACATGATTATAACCTCAGTGTCTGCAGCACAAACTCCCTTCGCATGGGTACAAATTTCCATGTTTAGACACTGAGTGCAGAGAAAAACAGTATTTACTTTCTCTGTCTCACCCTCCCTTGATATAATACTGCAGACCAAGTTTCCAAACAGACTTGTATGTACATACATACACGGATGCACACAAAGAGCCAGTACTTACAGCTAAAGATGCCTGGAGGTGGATGCTCTGTTACAAGCAGGCAGTTCTCTTCATCACTGTTATCCCCACAGTCATTCTGTTGGTTACAAATCAATGAACCAAGATACAAGCATTTACCACTGGCGCAGGTGAATTTGCACTCTGAAAGGCAAAAAAGAAACCAAAAAAAAATGTATGAGAAAATTGATGCCTACCCTTCTTCAGTGCTAGAACAACTGATACTAAAGATTATATATTTCAAGCAGGTGCTGTAATAGTGGATGGGTCTTTGGCACTTCAGCACCAAAATAAACCATATTGTATTTATAGTACTGCATGTATAAATATACACATGACACATTCCTGATCATCAGAATCAATCCACTAGTAAACCAGATTTGCCATTTGGGAAAATTCAACTGTTTTAAAAATAAGCAATATTTTTTATAGTTCATGTTGATTACAGTTCACTTTGGACACAGACCACGTTGTCATACATGTTTGTGTGGCACCTTGCATATTTGGGGAAAGATAGCACTATGAATAAAAATAATAACTGTCTCACATCAAAAAAAGTCTTGCTTCAGCTGTAAAGCAACAGTTTGTAACCAGGACCAATCCTGTCTGGACACAATTAGTCCCTAACTACCCTCCCAAAGACAATTTGCCAGTCTCACAGCTAATTGCAATCAAGTGCTTGGTGTTTCCACATTGAACTTCCACATGCTAGTGTTCTTTACAAAATTAGTAAACTTCTGAAATCCTATAAAGTGAATGCTATATGCAGAAATGATAGTTTTCACATTTTTTTCATTACCAAAAAAAGAGAACGGTTTCCCCTAAATATGATTCTGTCATGAGAACAGTTCCTATGACACAAAGTACACTTCATAGTAAATACTGAAGTTGCAATTAAGAAATGTTCACAAAAATATAAATGCAATCATAAAAAGCTTTCTCACTAGGCTTGTTCCAAAGTTAAATACACTACACATATAGAACAGAGGACACATTATATCTAGACAAATTATAATTTAATGATTACATTACCAGCATGTTGACAAATTCTGGTGATTGTCATTCACAAGCAGAAGCAAAGCAAACAGAAACACTCACAAGTAGTTTATTAAAGTAGCGCTGTTCCCTGAACTCTGGGCTTCCCTAAGGCTGCAGTTTGGGTTGGCTGGTTCTGCTTCAGAAAGATGATTTTCTGGTTCTTCCCAGCAAAGAGACAGCATTTGTTAATCTTCAACAAGATCAGCAAGAGACTTTCCTCTAATCTTAACAGCAGTTGCACTTACTCCGAACTGATATGACAGGACCTCCAATTCTAAAAAGCCCCTAAACCAGTTCCTGTGGTGTGATACTTACTCACATGTATCTGTTGTGTAACATAAGCAGGGTAATAAGAAAGGAGAGAAAAAAATTGAGAAAGGTAAAAAATTATTTTTTCTTAGCAAATTTCTTTTGTAGATAAAAGTGATTTGCAAACTTCATTCTGAACACTTTTCAAGAATATTAATGACATTTTTATACACATATCAGCAAGAACCTGCTGCAATAAAAAATGTATGCATCAACATTGTAACATATAAAATGCTACTTAGGAATATAAATAAAAGGCATAAAACGCTACGCAAGGAAAATAAGCATTTCCTGTGGGGGAAAAAAACAAGAACTCTATCTTTCTTTTTCACTTGGTCAAACTGCACTTACAAAATTAGTGACTATTTGTCTAAATAAGGTCCTCAACTTTAAGCTTTTTCAATGTAACCCTGTAGTACCTGAACCATTAAAACTGTAGAATAAAATACTGTAGAAACAAAGTATTTTACCCAGTTCTTTTGTTGCCCTGTCCTTCCCTGCTACAACACAAAACTGAAAAGGCATTGAAGGGCTTAGATTTTATGTTTTGAGTATAGACTATGAAAAAAAAATTCATAACCAAATGAAGTAAGCCTTTGAAACCCAAGGAACTAAGAGGGTCATTAACAGTTAGTTTTCAAAAGGAGACTTAAAAGACCAACCTCGATATTAGCAATACGATAACTACAATGTTTTAGGACTCGTTTCTGCAATTTCGTGAAGAAAGTGGAACAAGAAAAGGAATATAGCACAGGATGAAATCAGAGTGGTAAAGAACATAATGCCTCTATTTGAAAGACAAATGTCAAACACCATATTGCTTGAAGTTAGAATATTTGGCATGCTAATTTGGCTATACTATTTAATGCTTTCCAGTGCCTTTGTGTTGAGTCCTAATGTAACGCTTTCCATGCTTCCCCCATGGCTGACAGCAAATGCTCAAGCAAGATGTAAACTCAAAAGCAATTAAAGCTAAGAATGCTACGTTTCTGTTTGCCACCAGATACAGTTTTCAGACAAAAGACTAAAGCATTACAGTTTTAGTAGCATTATTAAAGTCGTAAAGTTCTGGGTTTTAACTAACATTACCGTAAGAGGACTGACCAGAGGAAAGAATTTGTGCTGTAAGATGTTTTGGTTCGGGGTTTTTTGTTTTTGTCATAGATAACACATCACATTGAAACTTGGATTCAAAACACAGACTCAATCAACTTTTCTTGTGAAATGTTATGGCTACTTCCTTCTTCCCTCAGATATGTGAAAATTGCCACTGTCAAGGTGCATAAAAAAAAAGAGTCATTGGGCCTCTTGTCCTCATTTGATGTGCCCACATTGACTGGAAGGTTGCTTGTGATACTATGGGAATTGTGTGCTGATTTTAACATGGGACATGTTGTCAAAAATCATATTGCCTTGTGATCTCCCACCAAATCTATTTGCCAAGGAAGCAGGCATCCTCTATTAGCCTGGCTGGGATGGAGTTAACTTTCTTTGTAACAGCAGCCTGTATGGTGGCAGTTTGGATTCGTGATCAAAACACTGTTGATAACACACAGTGTTTTGGCTATTGCTGAGCAGTGCCTGCACAGCGCTGACTTCCTTTTTTTTTCCCTCACACATGCATGTGCAAAAATAACTTCTATATCTAAAAAAATTTAATATCTAATGGAGGCCACAAAAGTGCAAAACTTAGCCTGCATAATCACGTTCTGTTGAAGTCTGAAGGAAATATTGAAAGGAAAAATGTACTGTAGAAATGGGACAAATTAATTAAACAGATTATTCAATGGATATACAGATACTTCTGAACACGGAATATACTTAGGATCTGGTATTTGTAACTTGTAAACAAAATTCAGTGCCTTAAATTAGTTTGCATAGTAAATGCATTTAAATAGTGTGTGCTTTTACTAAAACCAGAAAAGAACCCTTCCTTGTAATGCAAGGTGGATTCAAAATTCAGCTTGACAGAGACAGTAGAAAGCAAATATTAGAGTTTCATCAAACTGAAATAAACCTGCAGAGGACTGTACCAAAATACAAGGAGTGACCTCAAAACACTCCAACAGGGAAATCCAGACCAGTCCAGACTAGACCAATATGCCTAATGACACACCAGAGAGCCTTTTTCAGTACAAAGTCTTGTACTTGGCCTGTCTAGACAAGAACAGGGGTAAAAGCTCCTGTTCTGAAAACAAGCCAGCATGATCCTTCTTTCATGAATAATGTTTCAAAGCTAGACAGTTTCCCTTTTCATTTTCAAGTGGCAATTACTGAAACATCAGTCGATTGGTCAGCAAGACTCTGACTAGAGCTAAACCTGAAGCATGATGACAGCTACTGGAGGTTGAAAAAATCAACCCTTCTTATAATTATGTTCATAATTATCCTGGAGCATAATTTAAAAATTTATCTTTATGATATAGTGATTCTTCAACATAAAGTTTTAATAAACATACTTCCAGGTAGAACTAGACTACCCTGAAAAAATAAAAGGAATGCTAAGAATACTATTATGAACACTTCCTATTTTTTAGAAACTTCATGCAAGTAGTACAAATAAGTATATTGCACACATGTTCAAGGTAGATGCTTGTGTGTATAATTAAATACAATTACTAATTAATATGACTTAATTTCAAATAGTTTCAAATAGTAATTGAAGGTTATGTTTCTGTTGAACAGCTAAAGATGGGTCTGCATCATGATACAGAAAACTCCCCTGATCAGATTTTTTAATTGTGAAATGCAAGATCTGATGTGTTGGGTAGGCTTATTTTACACTTTCTGTGCCTAGCCAACAAGATAATTTTATACTTGCATTCAACTTAATTCTTTTAGACTTCATTTACACTTGACTTCATCCATATGAACAGCATTCCCATTGTTTTGTCACTCCACTTACCGTAGGGCATTTTTAATTATAGCTAAGTGCTGTTTGTTTTTCTAATGTAAGTCCAACCAAAGGCCAAGAAAAAAAAGCAACAAAGTGTCATATTGAAAAAATATGGTGGTTTAGGCCACTGTTATGATGCATGTCACAGCTACTTATTTAATGGGTCTGAGATGATTATCTGACCCAGGGGCAGAATTCTGTTCCATCCATTCAAATAAAAAGTAAAAAACTATATATGCAGCCAGTGATTTCAAACTGTTGTGACTAAACTGTAGTAACGTGCTTGAATGCACAAAATGAAATCCTAAGTGATGTCTGGGACTTAACCGAAGCGTAAAGGCACTCTCCCAAAATCCAATGGACTGGCAGCAGCTGGGGCAGCATGGCCAGCAGAGGGTGATCAAATACCCTACTGAAGTCATGTAAGTGGAAGGTGAAAATCTCTTTGCCTCCGGGTGGATCTAGATCTCCAGAATAAAGGTCTAATTTCTAATTTCTTACATAAGGACTCCATTTTAAGTATGTCATCATATTTCTTCTTACTCCTGTTCATACTGCAGCATGTTAGACCCTAAAAGAAAATATGTTTAAAGGGCATCATCACCTGTTAAAAGCATAATAAGAGACAGAAGCAGTAAATTGGAGAGAGCGGGAAGAAGCATACTTTGCTAGAGATTAAAGAAATATAAACCACAAATACCAGAGTCAGTACAATAAAACCCTGTTCAACCTCTCATAAACATCTGTCTGTGTATTATTTTTAATATTGTAGATTGTAGCTTTATAATGGGAAGTAAATCATAAATAGGAGACATGCACACAAGGAACATGTTTATTTGGGAAAAAGCTTGGTTAATAAGGAAGATGGCAGGCTGCCACACGATCTAATAAACCTCCATTG